GAACTGCAGTGAAATAAATGTTATATTGACTTTCTAGAATGTTCCGTGGATGAGAATTTGACCCCAGGGATACCAGCACATATTTTTTAAAGACTCATCAACTAGATGCACAGAAGAGTCAGGTGGAGCTTCTCTTGTTTATGTCTGAAGATTGATCATACTTCTCCCTGGAACTGGAGAATGTTGTGTAAGTTTGGAATAGTCTTAACTGGGAACTAATTCCTGTTCCTTGTCTGAAGCCCTTTACCAAAGAAAAAAGAAAGAGAATGAACTATTTTCTTAAAAGAAAAAATAAAAACAGCGAGTTTTTGTCTTTCAACTCTAAGTGTATGTTTATTTTGACAAAAGTTATAAATACCTACTTAAAATTGGCAAGATGGGGCCTCCCCGGTGGCACAGCTGTTGAGCACTGGGTTGCGAAGCTGCCCGCAGCCTCTGCAGCGCCGGTTCGATCCCCGGCTGCTCCCTGGCCACCGGAGGAGGGTCCCACATGGCGCATAGACCTCCCCAGCCGCCCGCTGCTCCCCTCAGCAGTGTGTTTCATCAGTCTGCCTGTTCTGTTCCCCACTCTGGCTCTGGTGAGTTCTCTCACCCTCCCACGCTTCTGACTGTACCCAGTGCTTGTATAAATAAATAAAAATAAGGGCCTCCCCGGTGGCGCAGCGGTTGAGCGCTGGGTTGCGAAGCTGCGCGCGGCCTCTGCGGCGCCGGTTCGATCCCCGGCTGCTCCCCGGCCACCAGAGGAGGGTCCCACATGGCGCGCAGACCTCTCCTGCCGCCCGCTGCTCCCCTCAGCAGTGTACTTCGGTCCTTCTGCCTGCTCTGCTCCCCGCTCTGGCTCTGGTGAATTCTCTCGCCCTCCCGCGCTTCTGACTATACCCAGTGCATGTATAAACAAAACAAACAAACAAACCAGCAAACAAATAAATAAAGCATGCCTCTATAAAAAATAAAAAAATAAATAAATAAATAAAAATAAATCTTTAAAAATAAATAAATAAAATTGGCAAGATGGTGGAAGAACTGGGAAATCAAATTTCACCCACAGAGTGAAGAGTCTCTGCTGCCATTGCTTAAGATGGGAGATCATGTCCTCCTGCGTGTCTGGAAGATCTCATGTGGTAGGAACAAAATTCATCTATACTTAATAAGCCCTCAATGCAAATAGGGATTTGGAGGACCTTAGGATGGAGGAAGCATCCGAATGAGGAACATCCAGAGGACTCAGCAGATTTTATTCCAACCGAAGTAAGGTTTATGCAGGCATCGGCTGTCCTCCGGGGCCACCCACACACACCGGAAGATTTCGAGCTTGGAGGTGGAAGGGGAAAATGAATCATTTGCACTTGTCTTTTTTTTTTTTTTCCTGGCTAGCGTCAACCTTTCCATCCACACACTCCACTGAGCTGACTTAGTTCCCTTGTTTTCCCCCAGTGCCATTTGCATACATTCTGTATCTGACTATCAAGTCTGCGTGTGTGTGCAAATCAAACTACGGGAGCTCTCACCTCACACCTGTCAGAAGGGCTGGGGAGGATGGAGAAGAGGCGCTCTGGGCACGGCGGGGAGTGGGAACAGTGTAGTCACGTTTGGAAGGGGCTGGAGGCTTCTCATTCCCACAGGCCACTTCTCCGCACCCGTTGAGGCATGCAAAACCATCGCCCTGAGTGGGGCCTCCCCAGTGGCGCAGCGGTTGAACGCTGGGTTGTGAAGCTGCCCGCAGCCTCTGCAGGGCAGGTTCGATCCCCGGAGGAGGTTCCCGCATGGCGTGCAGACCTCTCCTGCCGCCCGCTGCTCCCCTCAGCAGTGTACCTCGGCCCTTCTGCCTGCCTTGCTCCCCGCTCTGGCTCTGGTGATTCTGACTATACCCAGTGCTTGTATAAATAAATAAACAAACAAATAAATAAATAAATCTTAAAAACCACAAAAACCATCGCCTTCAAGAATCATCCTCTCCACAGGGTTTCTTGTGACATTATTTACAATTCCTAAGACATGGAAGCAGCCTAAGTGCTGACTGGTGGAGGACTGGATGGAAAAGATGAGGGCCAGACACAGAAGACGCAGGTACCCCCTAGTTACAAGGCAAGATGACATTTCGCCATGTGCAGCTGAGTGGGAGGAATTTGAGAGGATTTGGTGGATGGAGTCAGCTAGAAAAGTGAAGACAGATAATGGATAATGGATGACTCCACACACAGGAGTGAGATCAGGAAATCAAAGCTGATGAAATGACAAAATAGTAGACATGATGATCAAACTGCAGGTATCAACAGTGAAGAGGGTGGGGATGGGAGGCAGGATGAGAAGGGATGATGGGGTATTTTGCTTTTGGTTTTTTTGTCTTTTTCTCCAAATTAAAAAAAAAAAATTAATGTATGTATGGTGACCATAGAAAAATCCAGGCAAATCTAGAAAAGTCCCCAGCACAGACTCAACTAACATTTTCCTGAAGAACATTTGCATCTTCGAGGTAGAATATTGCCTTTGATTCAAAGAACTGGGAAACCTCTAAAGTAACCGCAACTATATAGTAATTATAACATGACAACCAAAACAACAGCCCCAGGCTGTTAGCCTACCTCTCAGGTAACAGCTCCCCTGACAGTTTCCAGAAGTCAAATGTGTGTGCCGAAAAAGGCAAAAGGGACAGAGCAGGAGCCCAATATGGTGAAGAGAAAGTCTGAGGAAGAGCAAAGTCTCCTGGATTTTGCTCAACTTGCCCTGTGACCTTAGCAAGTGCCTCCCCATCTGGCCTCAGCTTCTTGCCTATGACACAGGAAGATTGGAGCAGAAATGGCTGTCAATCCTGCCCACTCACTAGCGCCCGTGGAGAGCCGGTAAAATGACTGATGCCTGTGCCCCACCCTACCCTGACAGCTTTTAGACTCTCTGGGGGTGTGGCCAGGGCATCCCGATTTTTTAAAAGTTCCCCAGGGCATTCCAATGAGTAACAAAGGTTGAGAACCACTGTCTTGGCCTTGGGCTCTGCTCCCTCTTTCAGGTGGTCCCCTCCTTCCCCAGCAGTGTAGGGGTCCCATCCCTGAATGTAGCCCCTGGGGTTGTGGTTTCAGGCACAACAGGCTTTTCAGGGAGGAAGCCCCAGAACGAGTTTTGACTCCAAACAGCCTTCATCTGGACTGGCCCAGCAGTCTCTCACCATCACCGACTTAGAAAACAGCAAAACACAAGGAGGGGAGAGACAGCACTCCACCATAGAGGGGACTTCCTGGGCCCCCACCCCAAGCCCCAGGTGGTGTTTCAGGAACAGAGGAAACTTGGGGGCACAGTGTGAGCAGGGACAGGAATGGGCGGCCCGGCTCACCCCTGCACTGACACTGACACTGTGTGACCTTGGGCTGCTTGCTTCACCTCTCTGGGCCTCCACTTACTCACGCGTGCTGGGTCCTAACAGAACTTTCCTCCCAGGATGGCTGAGAGGATTGAAGGCCATTTGTGCTCAAACCAGCCCCAGGAGACGGCTTCTCCTCTCCTTCCTGGCCCATGTCAGCGGTGGCCAAGACTTTAGAGACATCTCAGCCCTGTCTGGGCCCCCAGATGCCCTGGAAGCTTTGAAGCACTCCCTGGCCAGCCCGTGCTCTGGGGAGTGTCAGTGACAGGTCTGCCCAGGGCACCCCTATTCCTACAGCTTCCCAGATGAATTCAGTGTGTCCCCCTCCCTCCCGGGCAGTGAGAGCTGCTACCAGAGCTCGTGGAGGAAAAGAGACCCCACAGGGCCTCCCTGGTGGCGCAGGCGGTTGAGCACCACACTGTGAAGCTGTCCGCAGCCTCTGTAGCGCAGGTTCCATCCCGGCCAGCAGGCGAGAATCCCACAAGGCAAATCAGACCTCTCTTGTCTCGCCTGCTGCTCCCCTCAGCAGTGCATTTCGTCAGTGCCTGTTCTGTTCCCCGCTCTGTCTCTGGTGAATCCTCTCACCCTCCCGCGCATCTGACCGGTACCCCAGTTCTTGTATAAATAAATAAATCTTAAAAAAAAAAAAGAGAGACCCCATAGCAGGGCTTCTCAAACTGGTTGTGCATTACAATCACCTGGAAGGCCCTTTAAACCACAGATTGCTGGGCCGTGTCCCCAGAATTGCTGATTCTGTAGGTCTGGGGTGAGCCTGAGGCCGCTGACCTACAGGAAGGTCCACAGCCGGAGGGTCAGCGGCGGGGAGGTCTGTGCCAGGGCCGGGAGGGTGCACCAGCGGCCCCAGAGCGCCCCCTGGTGGAAGTGCGGGCGCACCACAGCGCAATTCCTTAGGCCGATTTTAACCAGGGGTCTTGGAGCGCCACCTAGTGGGTGAATGGACGTGGCCGTTTGCGAGAATTGACGCCTCGGTTACCTCGATGTGCTGGGGTCGGAGACTTGTGGGCAGCATTTAAGGAATCCAGTGGAGAGGAAGGAGTGTCCTATTCTGCTCCCGGAACCCCGATTTCTAGAGCCGGGAGGTTCCAGGATCTTGTCTTCTCGCCGGGAATCTCGGCGGCGCCCTGATCTCTAAGCCCAAGGGCTGGGACAGCCCAGGCTCGGCTGCAGCTTGGGGGCACGCTCGCTGCCAGCCCGCCCGCCGGAACCCCCACCCCAACCCCAGCGACCTCTGCACGACCGTTTCACATCCGACATTCTAAACTCCAGTTACTTGCAAATCCAAATAACAGCGAACGCCCCGAAAGCCGGGGGCTTGTTCCGGTGACAGGCACCGAGCGGGCAGGGGGGGCCCGTAGTTCCTCGGGAATAAGCCTCCATCAGCACGGCCCTGGCGCGGGCGTTTGCAGGGGCCGGTCCCTCCCCCCGAAGAGCGCGTCCCCAGGGGTCCAGCCGCTTCGCCCGCGGTCCCGCCTCCCGCTCTCCCCAGTTCCCGCCCGCGCGCTAACCTGGTGCTGAGAGGACCCGCGGGTCCTCTTTATGGGCGCTCGGCGGGGTCTTGGGACCTCTGCTCCCGCGGCTCCCACGGCTCACTCGCGCCAGGGGGTTAGACTCCCGGCCCCTTCCTCACCGGGCGCAGCAGGAGGAACCCTCGCTCTTCCCCGAATCCACGACCCGACGTCGGCTGTGCGCCCTGAGGCCCCGCAGGCAGCCCGGTAGCCGCCTCTGGGGGTGGGGCCAGGAGCCCGCAAGCGAGGTGGGAGTGGGGACCCTTGCGTTTGGGTGCGGGGCCGCGCCTCGTGGCAAAGGCTGGGGAAGGCAGGCACAGCGCAGGTCTCCTTGGGAGCGGGGGTTGGGCACGAGCGCGGTGCCGGGGGGAGGTGGGTGCCGGGGGAGGTGGGTGCTGGGTGCCGGTGGGCGCTAGGGCGGATTTGAATGGGGCAGTTGGCTGAAAGTCAGAGCAGGGTCGGGCGTATCTCGGGAGCTGGAAGGGGATAGGGGGGCAGGCTGGGCCGGGGGAGGTCGAGTTGGATGGGCACTAGTAGAAGGGCTGAGGAATGGGGCAGACAGTGCCCAGGAGGTGGGTTCCGGGCACCGATTAGAGGAGAGAGCTGGGAACCCAGAAATGACAGCTAATTGGACCAGGAAAGTGGGTCTGATGGCAGCGACCTGGGATGATGTGCGATTGAGCCTGTCAAGATGTGATGGGGGGTCCAGCAGAGGTTTTAGCTGGGGGAGGCTGCGGCGCAGGGGGGCCAGCCGAAGCTAAGGCCTGGCGGAGAAAAGGCAGGAGGCTGAGTGGGGTTAGGGCCGCAGGGACCCCGGGAGGGACTCCGGTTGTTCACGTTGCTGCAGTGACACTGAGGCCTGGGGACTGGGAGGCTAGGAGCAGCGGGGCCCACCTGCGCCGGGGGAGGGGCCAGCTACGGTGGAGGTGAGAAGCGGGTGCGCGCACCCTGAAGCAATAAAGGACGCTGGGTATGCAGCAGTGACCGGGCAGTTCCATAGTGCTCGGGCACCGCCAGGCATCATGGGTGAGGCAGCTAGTGACCAAGCTCGGCCACTCCCCTCCCCCACTGCCCAGACCACAGACACCAGAGATGCTTAGTTCACTTTACTGAAGGATCCAGGTGACATGGGGAAAGGGGTATCTACACCTCCTAGTGGGGGGGGGAGGGGGAGGGCTTGTACCACACCCCCATGGCAGCTGCCCAGGACCAGACCCCCAAGGCTAGCAGTGCTAGCAAGGAGGGGGCTGCGTCCCAGCCCGCCGACCTGTTCTCGGGTGAGGTCGTCCTGTCCAGGGTGGTGCTGCGGCCTGGAGGGGCCACCTCTGAGCCACCAGCAGCAGAACCCGCATCTGCTTCTACACCTAGTGACCAGAGGTGGGTTAGGACAGCCCAAGGGGGCTGTGAGGGGTCCCCAAGGGCTGGCCACCTCCTGGGGACAGGAATGCAGAGACAGGTACACATAGGACAAGAGGACTTGGGGGGTGTCCAGTGGGGCTGCCGGGACTTGCCCCACTCCCCTTCACCCTGTGGTGGTGGCCACTGCTCCCCTCCTTCCCCAGAAGCGCCCCGCCCCCTGGGGTTTCCCTTTCTGGCATCATACCTTAGGGAGGCCGGTTGAGCCTCCAGTCAGCTGCGCACGGACGCCCCAGCGCCGCCATCGCGTCCAGGCGATCACCCGCGGAAGGGCTGGGGAAGGCGGTCCTGGCCAGAAGCGAGGGCCTGACACCTTCAGAGCCAGAATACCCCACTGGTTCTGCCCTGCCCCGGGCCGTTCACCCGAGTGCTAAGGAGGGATGGGGGCACCCTGCGCCAAGCCGCCCGCTATGACCCCCGACACCAACACTGCGCCCCCCCGGGGTCGCTTTTGTGTTTCCCTCCATTTCGGTCGCGACCCCGTCCGGGCGCAGCGGGGAATCGCCTCTGCAACAGGAGCGAGTAGCGGGCGGGAGGTTGGGGCAGCGCTCTGCGCCTCGCGGGCTCTGGGCTCCCCTAGCGACACTTGGGGGGCAGCCTCCGGCCCCGCCGAGGCTTCTTCCCACGCGCCGATCTGGAGCCGGCGGGCGGCTGCGCCCTGGTCTCGCCGACCTCGGCGTGGGCACCAGCGGCCGCCCAGGTCCTCTTTTTCTTGCCTCGCGCTCGGGCTGTTCGAGCCCCTGAGGGCGCGGGGCCCCGAGCGCCGCCGGCCGGACCCTGTGCGCGCCCGCTTGGCCCGCGGCCTCCTGCACGCCGGGTCCTGGGACGCCGACTCCTCGCTCTCCGCGGCCTCAGACGCCTCTTGGGATTCTCCTTCCTACGCCCCCTCCTCCGACTCCTCCGACTCCAAGTTCTCCCGCGCAGCGGGCAGCGCCATCACCTCCCCCAGGTGCCCCCGGCGTATTTGCACTTCCCGCCCCCCCCCCCGGGCGTTTCCCTTCTCCTCCGCCACCACGCCTGCCACGGCCGGGCGGCCAGGCGCGCCACTAGCCCCAGCAGCCCCTCCAGGTTCCCCCAGAGGCCCCCTCCGCGTCCTCGTCCTCCACCCGGCCTCGGAGGAGGCCACGCTGCGCCCTCCTCCCTTGGGGACGGCCTCCGGCTCAGCCAAGGTGGAAAAGCATTCCAGAAGGTTCCCGCGTCCTTGGCCTTCCTCAGGACCATGGCGCCCACCTCCCCACCTGCCGCCTCCACCTTCGCGCGTGCCCGAGGCGCCCTCGGCCATGACGGACGCGAGCTGGGGGCGGTCGTCCCGCCTGTCGTTCCTGTGCTCCAGCCCAGCGCCTGGATCACAGAAGCCATTTTCAACGTCTCCTCCGGGCGGCGGGGTCGGGGGGCTCCGTATAAGCCACGATGGCCCCAGACTCGGGGTTGTCCATCTCTTTCCCCAGGTCCCGCTCTCCTGCGACTCGCTCTCGGGAGCGCCGCGGTCCTGGGCTGCTCGCCCCGGCCTCCCTCGCCGCCAGCAGGGCCGCTGATTCGGGGAGGCCGCTCCGCGCGTCTTCGAGGTTCAGGCCGACGGACTCCGCCCCGGGCGGCTCTTTCTCCAGCTCCTCTTTCTTGGCTTTGTCCGTCCCCGTCACCAGGGCCAAGAACTCGCGGGGCCCGTCGCGGGCCCCCACTTCGCTCTGGAGGCCCCACTTCTTCACGAGCTCCCCGGCCGCGGCCCGCAGCGTGGCGGGCAGCGCGCTCTGCTCGGCGTCCCCGCCCCGGCCTCACGGGCCACGGCCCGGATCACGACGCCCAGGCTCCCGTCGGAAGAGCCCCCGGCCTCCTGCCGCGCCGCGGCCGCCCTCCTCGGCCCCGTTTCTTACCCTCCAGGGCCAGCAGGTTGCCTCTGGCCCTGTTGCTGCCACCCCGGCGGCCCCTCCTGGCCACCTGCCCCTGGGCCTGGGCCTCCCAAGGGGGGGGGGGCGTGTCCCCAGGGGTCCCGGCCTCAGCGCCTGCCGGGCCGGGGCCGTCCGTCCAGCAGCAAGCGCCCCATCCGCCGCAGCACTTTCCAGTCCTCGCGCGCTCCCGGCACAGGACCCTCCGGACGCCGTCCTCCGCCGGATCTCCCTGGGGTGGCGGCGTGTCGATGTCTCCACAAACTCCACCAGGGCGGCCGGGCCGCGCCCTGGCTCCCAGCGCTGGTGTTCCGGAGCCTGCACGTGCCGAGGGGCCGCAAGGCCGGCCGCAGGACGGCTTCCATGGCCGCAGGCTCCTGACCCTCGGGGAGGCCAGTGACCAGCAGGGCCCCGTGCGCGTCCACCTCCAGCCCCCTGCACCCGTCCCGCAGAAGGCTCCCGGTCGTGGCCCGCCGCCGGAGCCCCTGGCCAATCGCTGGGCACGGGGAACCCCGAGACGGGCGTGGGTTGTCGGGCCCGGTGCCAAAGCCAGCCAGGGACGGCGGCGCGGGGCTCAGAGTTCAGGTTCAGGTGAATGGGGCCCGGCTGGCATCGCGGGGCTCCTGCTGCCGCGGGCCGGCTGACGCAGCGGCCTCTGGCGGGGCCTCCCCCGGCCGGCCTGCAATCCGCAGCAGGGTACGTGTCCGCTCGCGGGGCAGGCCAGGGATGCCGCCCGCCCGGCCGCTCTGGTCTCGGTCCCGCACAGAGGTCTGAGGGACGCGGCCCCCGAGCCAGGTGCAGGGAGGGCGGCGCGGCGCGCACCTGGAGCGGCCCGGGTCCGGACGTGGGGGCCGCGGCTGGCGGGGCTCGGGCGCCCAGAGCAGGCGCGCGCGCGGCGCTCGAACCCCAGCGGTTCCGCTGCGACGCCGAGGCCCCTCCCGGCGCCTGCGCACGCGCGCTGGTCCCGCCTCCCAGCCGGGCCCGGTATCCATGGCAACCGCGGCGGCCGCGGCAGCGCTGGTAGGGGGGTCTGGGGCTCCCGGAATCCGCTCTTAAAGGACCCCCATGCAGGGATGAGCGCAAAAAAGGCGAAAATCACAGGGGCCGTGACACCAGGGAGACCCGCCCTCATTCGCCCGGGGCCGTGGAAGAGAACCTGCCTGCCCCAGAGCTGGGCTGGGGAATGATCCTCCGAGATCATACCATGACTTATAAGAATGTTACATAAGCAAATGACTCTCCACCCCAGACAATTAACCGACATTTATGGACTGTCTTTTTTTTTTTTTAATGACAAGTGACTTATTTTATTTTTTTTAAAGATTTATTTATTTAGGGGCCTCCCTGGTGGCGCAGCGGTTGAGCGCTGGGTTGCGAAGCTGCCCACGGCCTCTGCGGCGCCGGTTCGATCCCCGGCTGCTCCCCGGCCACCGGAGGAGGATCCCACATGGTGCGCAGACCTCTCCTGCCGCCCACTGCTCCCCTCAGCAGTGTACTTCGGTCCTTCTGCCTGCTCTGCTCCCCACTCTGGCTCTGGTGAATTCTCTCACCCTCCAGCACTTCTGACTGTACCCAGTGCATGTATAAACAAACAAACAAATAAAATAAATAAATAAATAAAACATGCCTCTATTAAAAAAAAAAAAAGAATTAAAAAAGATTTATTTATTTATACAAGCACTGGGTATAGTCAGAAGCGTGGGAGGGTGAGAGAATTCACCAGGGCCAGAACAGGGAGCAGAACAGAGTGACGAAGTACACTGCTGAGGGGAGCAGCGGGCGGCAGGAGAGGTCTGCGCGCCATGTGGGACCCTCCTCCGGTGGCCGGGGAGCAGCCGGGGATCGAACCAGCGCTGCAGAGACTGCCGGCAGCTTCGCAACCCAGCGCTCAACCGCTGCACCACCGGGGAGGGAGGCCCTATGGACTGTCTTTTACTGGCTAAAACTCTGTGCCTAATTCTTTCCTACTTAGATTCGAAGATGGCCCGTTGGATGATTTGATTAATCAATGTGCGTCCCTCACCCGTTCCTCTGTAAGCTAAACGAGGGCAGGGACGACGTCAGCCTGGTGTACTGGTGGAGGGACAGCAGGCAGTGCATTAAGCACATAGTTAGCACTCAAAACGTTGAATGAATGTTGGGGGGTACAGAGGAAAAGGCAGATGTAGGGTGATTCAAGAAGATAATTTCATACTCTTCAACCTATTCGGGTCCTGGAAGCCTGAAGAGTGCCACGAAAGAAAGATAAACAAGAGCTAAAAGACTTCATGCTTCTCTTGCTCTCTTCCTAATGGAGGAAGAGTTCATTGCGTGGTTCCCATGGCAACTGGACCTGCCACCAAACCAAATGCTTACTCACCCCCCACCCCCACTCCAGCTCTTCTTTTTTTTTTTAAGATTTATTTTTCATTTATGCAGTAGCTGGGGTACAGGCCAGAGGCATAGGAGGGTGAGAGGATTCACCAGAGACAGAGCAGGGAACATAACAGGCAGATTGACTGAAATACACTGCTGAGGGGCACAGCAGGCATGACAGGAGAGGTCTGCCACTCCATGTGGGAATCTCCCCTGCTAGCCGGGAATTGAACCCGAGCTGCAGAGGCTGCAAACAGCTTCACAGCGCTGCACTCAACCCGCTGTGCCACTGAGAAGGCCCTCCAGCTGTTCTTTCATGGCTTTTCTCTTTTCCTTTCCAGATCTCCAACTAGATCTCTCTAGATCTTCTAGAAGTCCTTCTTCTCTCCAGAACAGCTTTATCCAACAGACACAAAGCGGACCCCAAACCGGGGCCACATGGATGAGGTGAAATTGCTTGTGGTAAAATGGGTTCTTAGATGGCATGTATTCCAGAATGTGCAAGGTGCCATCATCTTCACACGGCACCAATATGATCTGGTTATTAATGGGATGTGGTATGTTCTCTTTTTCATGAGTCCCTTAGGAGCTGACCCATTTCAAGGCCTTAGTGACCACAGAATGGACACTGGGAATGTGTTCCGAGGAACTCACTAGGGGGGTGTGTGTCCAGACATGCCAGCACAAGTGTAGTCATCCCCATGTTAGTTACAACCCTGGAAGACTGGAAATAGCCCCCAAAATCCAAACATCAAAAAAAGAAATGGAAAACTGAATTTTTTTTGTGGTATGGAAGACAACAGGTAAGGCGCTGGTGAAAAAGAAGATTCATATACAGCAGGTCCTCAACACCCATGCTTTCCTTAACATGGTTTCCTCAAATGTAGGTGAGAAAAAAAAAAAAAAAGGCCATGCCTTGGCCATCCATGAGGTGAAGGACTGGTTTTGTTACAGGTTACTTTACTAGCCATCGAAGTTTCCTGGAACCTACCCGGTGAGGATTCGGGAGGTGGTGTGTGTGAGTTGGGAAGGATGCCCAGTCCCTAGGGTTACAGGGATAAGATTTAATTCCCATGGGCCAGTGGTACAGGACAGGTGATACACAGGGCTGCAGGTTATGGAGGGGACACCCCAGGGCAATGCCTACTACCTAGAGATCCAGGGGCCACTATCTCTCCCTGAAGTTATGTTTCAGGACCATCTGATGGGAAGGGGGCCAAAGAAGGGTGTGGCATTGCAGGAACTCAGGATAGAAGATAAGGACAGGGCCTCCCCGGTGGCGCAGCAGTTGAGCGCTGGGTTGCGAAGCTGCCCGTGGCCTCTGTGGCGCCGGTTCGATCCCCGGCTGCTCCCCGGCCACTGGAGGAGGGTCCCACAGGGCGCGCAGACCTCTCCTGCCGCCCGCTGCTCCCCTCAGCAGTGTACTTTGGTCCTTCTGCCTGCTCTGCTCCCTGCTCTGGCTCTGGTGAATTCTCTCACCCTCCCGCGCTTCTGACTGTACCCAGTGCATGTATAAACAAAACAGACAAACAAACAAACAAATAAATAAATAAAAACATGCCTCTAAAAAAAAAAAAGAAGAAGAAGATAAGGACAGGCCTTGAACTCTGAGTCCTGTGAGCAGAAGATCCAAAGGGGACCCCTCAGACTGGGTACCAGAAGCCCCAAAATACCCCATTTGACCTTTGAGTATTTGACCTGCAGCCATAGTCCCCTGCTGAAAAGTAGCAGTGAGGTTCAGATGGAAACAGCTGGAAGTTGATCCTGTAAATGTTTTGCAAAATTCTCCCTCCTTCCCTGTGTTTGAGAAAGAAAATACAAGCGAGCCTGTTTGTTAAGTGGTAATAGCACTATGGAAGCAGCAGTTCTCAAAGTATGGCGCAGGGACCCCCAAGCATGCCCATGGACATTTCAGAGGGGCCATGAAATCAAACCCATTTTCATAATACTACTAAAATATTTTTGGCCTTCTTCACTCTCTCGAGTGTTCAGTGGAATTTTCCAGAAGCTACATGATGTGCAATAATGCAACTGACTGAAGTCA